CCCACTCGGAATTTCCCTCTCGGGATTTCCCACTCGGGATTTCCCACTTGGGGATTTCACACTCGGGATTTCCCACTCGGGAATTCGGATTAGGGAATTCGGATTCGGGAATTAGGACTCGGGAATTCGGACTCGGGATTTCCGAATCGGGATTTCCCGCTCGGGATTTCCCACTCGGGAATTCCGAACCGGGTTTTCCCACTCGGGATTTCCCACTCGGGAGTTCCCACTCGGGAGTACCCACTCGGGAATTCCGACTCGGGATTTCCCACTCGGGAGTTCCCACTCAGCATTTCCCACTCGGGATTTTCCCACTCAGAATTCCGACTCAGGAGTTCCCACTCGAGAGTTCCCACTGGGATTTCCGACTCGGGATTTCCGACTCGGGGGTACCAACTCGGGATTTCCGACTCGGAATTTCCCACTCAGGATTTCCGACTCGGAATTTCCCACTCAGGATTTCCGACTCCGGAGTTCCCACTCAGGATTTCCCACTCGGGATTTCCCCATTCCCCAGTCCTCCCCATTCCCCAGTCCTCCCCAGTCCCCGGTCCTCCCCATTCCCCAGTCCTCCCCATTCCCCAGTCCTCCCCATTCCCCGGTCCTTCCCATTCCCCGGGGATGGGACTGACTAGTGCCCGCATTGAGTCGACTCATAAGTCAACCAGAGCCTGATGAAGTGCACGACTACCAGGCACATGCACATGGGGGAGTGGACCCACCTGAAGTAAAGCAGAGGAGAGCAATTTGCTGGGGGGAGGAGCGCAGGGGGAGGTGGTGGAGGAAGGAGGAGGAGGCAGCCGGAGGGCAGGTAGAGGTAGCAGGAGGCCAGGGTGTCGCATGCCGAGTGGTGACCCCTCTACATTGGACGATGCCCCCAGCTTCGCTTATCGCCAGCCTGCCAGCTTGAATGAGGGCATTCATTGGGATAAGTGTGGGCAACAACGGCGAGTTGTGCTCCTTAGATCGACACGATCCGTGTTCCTCAGATGGACACGAGCTGTGTTCCCCAGATTGACACCAGCCGTGCACGCTGCTATCGCAAACACCCACAACCACCCCCAGTCGCAGCGAGGGGCAGAGAGGCCGCAGCTTGCCCCACCATGGCAGCATGTGTGCGTCCACCACCAGCACTGTCGCCCCCACCTGTTGCACCGCTGATGCTGCTTCCCCCAGGCTCTGAGGAGAAGAAGTGGGGAGGAGGGAGGCAACGGGAGAGGTCAAGGCTGCATCCACCACCAGCACCGCCGCCCCCACCTGCTGCACCGCTGACGCAGCCTCTTCTATGCTCTGAAGGTTCGGGCCGGGGAAGGAGGTGAAGAGGAACGGAGGAGAGGAGTCACAGGAATGGCTACATGACTACATGGCAGCATGGCAGCATGGCGGCATGGCAGCATGGCAGCATGGCTACATGGCAGCATGGCAGCATGGCAGCATGGCAGCATGGCCGCATGGCAGCATGGCTACATGGCAGCATGGCAGCATGGCAGCATGGCTACATAGCAGCATGGCAGCATGGCAGCATGGCTGCATGGCAGCATGGCTACATGGCAGCATGGCAGCATGGCTACATAGCAGCATGGCAGCATGGCAGCATGGCTACATGGCAGCATGGCTGCATGGCTGCATGGCAGCATGGCAGCATGGCAGCATGGCAGCATGGCTACATGGCAGCATGGCTGCATGGCAGCATGGCAGCATGGCCGCATGGCAGCATGGCTACATGGCAGCATGGCAGCATGGCTACATAGCAGCATGGCAGCATGGCAGCATGGCAGCACGGCTACATGGCAGCATGGCTGCATGGCTACATGGCAGCATGGCAGCATGGCAGCATGGCTACGTAGCAGCATGGCAGCATGGCTACATGGCAGCATGGCTGCATGGCTGCATGGCAGCATGGCAGCATGGCAGCATGGCTACATGGCAGCATGGCTGCATGGCAGCATGGCAGCATGGCTACATGGCAGCATGGCTGCATGGCTGCATGGCAGCATGGCGGCATGGCAGCATGGCAGCATGGCTACATGGCAGCATGGCAGCATGGCAGCATGGCCGCATGGCCGCATGGCAGCAAGGCTACATGGCAGCATGGCAGCATGGCTACATAGCAGCATGGCAGCATGGCAGCATGGCTACATGGCAGCAAGGCTGCATGGCTGCATGGCAGCATGGCAGCATGGCAGCATGGCTACATGGCAGCATGGCAGCATGGCAGCATGGCTACATAGCAGCATGGCAGCATGGCAGCATTGCAGCATGGCTACATGGCAGCATGGCTGCATGGCTGCATGGCTGCATGGCAGCATGGCAGCATGGCAGCATGGCTACATGGCAGCATGGCTGCATGGCAGCATGGCAGCATGGCTACATGGCAGCATGGCTGCATGGATGCATGGCAGCATGGCGGCATGGCAGCATGGCAGCATGGCTACATGGCAGCATGGCAGCATGGCAGCATGACGGCATGGCAGCATGGTTAAATGGCAACATGGCAGCATGGCTACATAGCAGCATGGCAGCATGGCAGCATGGCTGCATGGCAGCATGGCTACATGGCAGCATGGCAGCATGGCAGCATGGCTACATAGCAGCATGGCAGCATGGCAGCATGGCTACATGGCAGCATGGCTGCATGGCTGCATGGCAGCATGGCAGCATGGCTACATGGCAGCATGGCTGCATGGCAGCATGGCAGCATGGCTACATGGCAGCATGGCTGCATGGATGCATGGCAGCATGGCGGCATGGCAGCATGGCAGCATGGTTACATGGCAGCATGGCAGCATGGCAGCATGACGGCATGGCAGCATGGCAGCATGGCTACATAGCAGCATGGCAGCATGGCAGCATGGCAGCATGGCAGCATGGCTACATGGCAGCATGGCTGCATGGCAGCATGGCAGCATGGCTACATGGCAGCATGGCAGCATGGCAGCATGGCCGCATGGCAGCATGGCTACATGGCAGCATGGCAGCATGGCAGCATGGCTACATAGCAGCATGGCAGCATGGCAGCATGGCAGCATGGCAGCACGGCTACATGGCAGCATGGCTGCATGGCTACATGGCAGCATGGCAGCATGGCTACGTAGCAGCATGGCAGCATGGCTACATGGCAGCATGGCAGCATGGCTGCATGGCAGCATGGCAGCATGGCAGCATGGCAGCATGGCAGCATGGCTACATGGCAGCATGGCTGCATGGCAGCATGGCAGCATGGCTACATGGCAGCATGGCTGCATGGCTGCATGGCAGCATGGCAGCATGGCAGCATGGCAGCATGGCTACATGGCAGCATGGCCGCATGGCAGCAAGGCTACATGGCAGCATGGCAGCATGGCAGCATGGCAGCATGGCAGCATGGCAGCAAGGATGCATGGATGCATTGGAGGGGAGTGAGCGCATTGGAGGGGAGTGGAGGAATGCGGAGAGGAGGAATGCGGAGTGGAGGAATGCGGAGTGGAGGAATGCGGAGTGGAGGAATGCGGAGTGGAGGAATGCGGAGTGGAGGAATGCGAAGTGGAGGAATGCGGAGTGGAGGAGAAGCAGCGGTGAGTTGACGAGGCGGATAGGGGCCATTGCGGGCTGGAGGCAGGGCGTGTTGGTGTGACAGAGAGTGGGGAGCGGTGTGACTGACCCATCGGTGGTTGAGAGGTGCAAGGATGGCGCCCATAGCCGGCACCGCCAGCAGCCATTGCACGTACGCCGAGCTGCAGGGGAGAAGGGATTCGAAGAGATGTGGTTGGGACGACTCTTTGAAAGAAGAAGGGGCTATTTCAGTTGCGTCACAATATAATATACCCAGTAATCACCCCAATTTCTGCAATTTGTCTTTCTGAAGAATTGTGGGTAACGTCGACACTGGGAAAAGGCTCGACCTATCTCGGTTTCCATTTCCGCTCGCTCAATTGATCGGCGTGGGCAGGCCTCTCTAGTCGAAAGTGGCAACCACGCCTTCTAGGCCGCCTCACAATGCGACGGCGACTAGCAATGTCAAGATATGGAATAATAATCGGCGCTACTACCTATTGAGCGCGGCAATGCAGACGCGATCTCCCGGCGCGACGCCGCAGAGAATCTCCAGCCCTCTGGCCAGGCATGCGACGTCAGCGACCAATTGCGACCCGGTGAGCGTCGCACCGCTGTCGTCGTCGACGGTGACGACGCTGTTTGCGCGGCGCTGCTCGAGCGATTGGAGCACGTGGCACACGTGCGCCCATGGCGGACACAAATGGTCCGCCATTTGAGCGTTCTTAGCTTAGCGGATTACTCTATAATGAATAGTACGCGTATTTATGACAAATGCGCACCCTTGTAAAATTCCCTGCTTCTGTTGTATGTGCGTGTAGCCTGGTAACCTGGTTCTCTGGCAAGGGGGGAGGAAACCCAGTAGCGAGGACGAACATGATGCGATTTTGGAATAAGATGTGCGAAACATGAAATGATATATCTCAAGTGAGGGACACGTCAGCCTAAACATCTTCCCCCTTGCCGGTGAATCGGTGCACATCGGCAAAAGGAAGCAATGATGACATGCCTTTCCATGTTCTCAGATCCATGTTCTTTGGAGTCTGATTGGTCGCTGCCATTTTTCCGGGACACTAGGCATTTCTCTCCAAAGATTCGCCGAATGGTGTACCGTTCGCTCTCTCTTCCTGGCCATCCATTGCTCTTGCGAAATCCGGACGACAAAAGCGAATTTTCTTTCTCGGGTTTCCAGCTCCGACGCACCAATCGCAGCCTCTGTCAGATGTCCCCCATACCCATCATTCCCCCCCTCGGTTTCCCCCTATTCCCCATGCCACCGCCTCCGCTCTGCTGCATTTTCAGTTCATTGGCGCACCCGCCCATTTATTTTCCGCTTCCGTCGGCTGGATCTTGTCATTGGCGCACTGGCGCTTCCCTTTTCCGCTTCCGCCCGCTGCATCTTCCCCGATCACCAGAGCCCGGGGGATCTTTTTCGCGCGCGGCAGTCCCAATGCTTGCACTCCTGCGGCTCAAAGCTCGCCGCTTGTGCCTTGCTCAAGCTCAGATCAAGACTTCAGCTCTCAAGGCTTTTCCTCCCCTCGCCTGTTCTACCCTCTCGGGTCGCGTTGGCACGAGTGATCGGTCCGCTTCTCCTTCTCCTACGCTCACGCCTCGCTCCCCGCGAGATCTATTCCCAAGAACCATGGTGAACGAGGGCGAATGGGAGCTGAAGCCGCACCCCGTGATTCCCCGCGGGAAGCCGCTCGTGCTCATGATCCTCGACGGGTGGGGCGAGAATGTCGAGGACGACTATAACGCGATCTACAAGGCCAACTGCCCGCACATCAAGGCGCTGCGCGAGTTCCGCCCCGACCGCTGGCGCACCATCAAGGCGCACGGCAAGGCCGTGGGGCTGCCGAGCGACGGCGACATGGGGAACTCCGAGGTCGGGCACAACGCCATGGGCGCCGGCAAGGTCATCGACCAAGGGTACGTCGGGTGCTCGAAGAGGGGTAACACCGGGTCCAAGGATTAGAAAGATGACTACACGCAAATCAAGTTCCAAGGTCAAGGGTGAGCGGGGTGCTTGAAGAGGGGGAGATCCGTCGTCTGTCTGTCGTCTCGTTTATGCGTTTGTCTTTTCGTCCAAATTTCCAGATCCGCCATTCCTAACTGGAGATCCGATCTCATTCTTTTGTATCTGGACCGTTTCTCCTCTTTTTTTCCCCCCCTGTCTGAATCTTCCGCCTTTCACCGGAATTCCTCCGTGCAGCGCGGCTCTCGTGGACCGCGCGCTGGAGTCGGGCGGCATGTTCAAGGGCCCTGGTTTTTTTGTCGACTCTAAAGTCACTACATCAAGGAGACGTGGGATCGGATTCCTCCCCATGTGCATCTCAACCTTCCTTTGCTCTCAACTGAATCTCCCGCCGTTCCTCCGTGCAGAGCGGCTCTGGTGGACCGCGCTCTGGAGTCGGGCGACATGTTCAAAAGCCCGGGCTTTAACTACGTCAAGGAGGCGTGGGTCAACGGCGGCACGTTCCACATGCTCGGGCTGCTCAGGTGGGCGCCCGACAGGTGTTCTCTGTGGGCATGCGATGTGTTTGATCGGAAAGTCATATGATCGGGCCGACTTTTTCCAGATTCATCTATCCGTTTCGTGAATCTTGGCCGACTAGCGCTGATTTCGCTGGCTATTGTGTCAGATCCGCTTTGCATCGCCTGCATTCACCCTTGCCTGTCGCTGGTCGCATCCTCCTTCCGCCATCTCCCCTGACCCACCTCTACTGCCCTCATCGCTGCCGCGACTCCCGCCCGTGTGTCGCAGCGACGGCGGGGTGCACTCGCGCTACGACCAGGTGATCGGGACCATCCACGGTGCGTGGGAGCACGGCGCGAAGCGCATCCGCGTGCACGTGCTGACGGACGGCCGTGATGTGCCGGACGGGTCGTCGCTGCAGTTCGTCGCACAGCTGGAGAAGGACCTCGAGCTGCTCAGGGGGCAGGGCTGCGACGCCAAGATCGCCTCTGGCGGCGGTCGCATGCGCGTGACGATGGACCGATACGAGGTGAGTGGTCCGTCTGTGCGACGAAGTGACTAGTTGAGCGACGGGATTTGACTTGAAGAGACGTAAGGGAATGACGTCGCGAATGATACACTTCATCATCGATGGTGTGCACACTTCGTCATTGTAGCGGATAACGCAGCGAAGCGAATGATGGAGCCGAACAGAGAATCATCTCGCCCACTTGGATGGCCCACTTGGATTCTCATCATCTGGTAGTACCGGATGGGAATCTATGGATGGGAATCTATGGATGGGAATCTATGGATGGGAATCTATGGATGGGAATCTATGGATGGGAATCTATAGATGGGAATCTATGGATGGGAATCTATGGATGGGAATCTATAGATGGGAATCTATAGATGGGAATCTATAGGTGGGAATCTATAGATGGGAATCTATAGATGGGAATCTGTGGATGGGAATCTGTGGATGGGAATCTGTGGATGGGAATCTGTGGATGGGAATCTGTGGATGGGAATCTGTGGATGGGAATCTGTGGATGGGAATCTGTGGATGGGAATCTGTGGATGGGAATCTATAGATGGGATGGGTGAGTACTTACACTGCAGGCAGTGGAACATGGTTTTAAAGGGTGGGCCGCAATGTTTCCGGGTCCAAACCCCCCCCCCCCCCCCCGCATCACCACCCCCTTTCCCCCCTCTCCCCCTCCCCAGGCGGACTGGAATATCGTGGAGCGCGGATGGCACGCGCACGTGCTGGGCGACGCGCCGTTCAAGTTCAAGTCGGCCCTCGAGGCGCTGAAGAAGATCAAGGAGGACGACCCCTCTGTGAACGACCAGTACTACCCGCCGTGGGTGGTGGTGGACGACGACGGCAAGCCCGTGGGGCCTATCGTGGACGGCGACGCTGTCGTCATCTGGAACTTCCGCGCTGATCGCGTCATTCAGGTGAGCCTGCTGTGGCGTGCAGCGACGTGTGGCGAGGCTGGGAGGTGCCTGGTGTGGCGAGGCAGTGAGATGCCTGGTGTGGCGAGGCTGGGAGGTGCCTGGTGTGGCAAGGCTGGGAGGTGCCTGCTGTGGCGAGGCTGGGAGGTGTCTGCTGTGGCGAGGCTGGGAGGTGTCTGCTGTGGCGAGGCTGGGAGGTGTCTGCTGTGGCGAGGCTGGGAGGTGCCTGGTGTGGCGAGGTAGGGTTAACCCGAGCATGGACAAGTAGTACTACCCGCCGTGCCTCACGCTAAGCTGCCTGGCAGGTCAGAAGTTGACAGGAACCTCGCCGCCTGACTACCATCTTCCATCCCTCTCCCCACTGAAACCCCTCCGCTCCACAGATCTCCAAGGCCTTACCCATGCAAACCCGTACGAACCCTTCTTAACCCTCTCAAACCCCTCGACAGATCTCCAAGGCCTTGGAGTGCCCCGACTCCCACCAGTTCGACCGCGTGCGCTACCCCAAGGCGCCTGCCGTGCTGTAACCTCGCATCCACAGTCTCACCGTCCCTTCCTTCCGCCTCTCTACCCCTTTCTACCCCTTTCTACCCCTTTGAGCGCCCCGACTTCCACCAGTTCGACCGCGTGCGCTACCCCAAGGTGCACTTCGCTGTGCGGGCCCTGAACCCTTTTCTGTGCCCCTGAAAACCCCTTCAAACCCCTCTGCACCCCTCCACAGATTTCCAAGGCGTTCGAGTACCCTGACTTCCACCAGTTCGACCGCGTGCGCTACCCCAAGGTGCACTTCGCGGGCATGATGCAGTACGATGGCGACCTCAAGCTGCCCGCAAACTTCCTCGTCGCGCCGCCCGTCATCGAAAAGACCTCCGGGCAGTACCTCGTCAAGAACGGCGTGCGCACCTTCGCTTGCAGGTCAGCACGTGGGATTGAAGGAGAAGTAATAGTGCATGCAGGGGTTTAGAAAGCTTGGGGCCGTACCTGGTGAAGAACGGCGCGCGCACCATCGCTTGCAGGACAGCACGTGGGATTGAAGGAGAAGTAATAGTGCATTCAGGGGTTTAGAAAGCTTGGGGTCGTACCTGGTGAAGAACGGCGCGTGCACCTTCGCTTGCAGGACAGTGGGGGAATGGAATGGGTGATGGAGTGTGGAATTTTATGTGGTGTGGTGAAGGTTCGAGATTCGGGGTTTTGAGGTTTGGGGTTTGCTGATGTGGTTCAGGAGCACGATGTGTCCACCCTTCCCACATCCCCGCCTGCACTCCCCTCCAACATCGCCTGCCCGCCTGTCCCCAACATTGATATGCAGAAGTCTGGCAATGTGACTTCAGTTCTGGAACAGCGACCCCTTAGGCAAAATCCACATTCCCTCGCTCCCTCATCCAACAGTGAGACACAGAAGTTCCACATGACCTTTTTCCTTTTTCGGGAATGGCAAGCTCGATGACGAGGTGGAGGACTACTGTGTGGTGTCGAGCGGCCACTCTCGTGAAGGAGAGCGCCCACTCCTTGAAGCCACTGCGGTTTCAAGGAGAATCTGCTCGTGAAGGCGTGGGAGATGGCCGCCTTGCTCCATTCCCCTCGTCCTCACCTGCTTTGCGCCTTCTCTTCCCGCCCTCCCTCCCCCGACCCACCCACCCCCTTCCATCCTCGCGCGACAGTGAGACCCAGAAGTTTGGTCATGTGACCTTCTTCTGGAATGGCAACCGCTCGGGGAAACTCGATGACGAGCTGGAGACTTACTACGAGGTGCCCAGCGACAACTGCCCATTCAACGAGAAGCCCCTCATGAAGGCACGGGAGATAGCAGCCGCTTGCAAGGAGGCGATTCTGTCGGGGAAGTACGACTACGTGCGGCTGAACCTGGCCAACGGCGACATGGTGGGGCACACTGGCGTGTTCGATGCCGTGCTCGAGGCGTGCCAAGCCGTGGACGGGAGTGTCAAGGTGAGACAAATGCATGCACTGGGCTGGTGAAGCATTCAAACCACTCCTGCCCTTGCTCATGCCTCCCCTCACTCCTGCCCTTGCTCATGCCTCCCCTCACTCCTGCCCTTGCTCATGCCTCCACTCTCTCTCCCTCATGCTCCCCCTTCCCATCCGCCCGTGTCTCTCCCCCTTGCCATGCCCTTTTCCAGGAGCTATTGGATGCGGTGGAGCAGGTGGGCGGCATCTATTGTCTGACAGCGGACCACGGCAACTGTGACGACATGGTGCAGCGCAACAGCAAGACGCACAAGCCCATCCTCGGGCCCGATGGCAAGCCAGAGCCCCTCACCTCGCACACCCTCGCCCCTGTGAGTGCCTTGTGATCTCCGGTTCACACACACACCTGCGGATACACCCTCATAGCATTTGGCCTGTCGCCAGCATTTATGTGCTAGATATGCACTCAAGGATATGCCATATCTTCTCACCTTTTCTCCTCTTGTGTTTCCCATTTTGAACTGCCACTGTGACCCACAGGTGCCTCTTGCCATCGGTGGTCCCGGGCTTCCAGCCAACATCCGGTTTAGGCAGGACATGCCCAATGCGGGCCTCGCCAATGTCACCGCCACCTTCATGAACCTGCTGGGATTCGAGGCTCCTGAGGGCTATGAGCCGTCCATGCTCGAGGTTGTTCCATAGTTGTTTCTGTACGATGGCCATGCATACGATATGTTTTGTGTTTTATGAAAATCATTATGCCTAGTCCTTTCGAAATGGATGTTAGGAGTAGGAAGTGTAAAGTGGAACAACAAATAGAAGTGAAGCTTGGATGAAACTTAGCACGTAAAACTGTTTACACATTACTGTTCCGGAAATTGCGCTGTTATCAAATTTTCTCTCTGCCAACCGAACCTCGAGGTTGACGAAATAAGTGCAGCACCGCAGAGCGCCTGACACCCAATTCTCGAGATAGCACCCCACCCTTCCCAACATGGCACCTGAGCCCCTCAGATCTCCATTTCTCGTCTGCCTGACGGTATCAGTCAGTTTACTTACCGTCGCAGCTGCAATTCCGTCCACGCCAATACGCGAGATGTCGCCTCACGGAGCGCCGTTGAGCGGTAGTGCCGATAGTAGCAGTCCAAGCGGTAGCAGCTTGAGCAATAGCAGCGGAATTCTGATTCCTAGGTGCGACCAGCGGCAGTATGAAGCGCTGGAGCTGCCTAACGGGCTCACCGTGTTGCTTATATCGGATCCCGAAACCGATAAGGTGTGTGGCTCCGAATGCCTGAATTACTAGCGTTCGTCGCTTAAACGCGTCTGAATTAGTAAACGCTAGAATGACGGACTGGCTCTTTAGACCTCTAGATCAGGAATGCGTTCAACCGTGATCGTCGCTGGCTGTTTTCATCCGGTTCCTTTTCTTCGTTCAATCTTCCATTTTCCAGGCTGCTGCAGCTATGGACGTCGGCGTGGGGTCGCTCAGCGATCCGGACGACGCGCCTGGTCTGGCGCACTTTCTAGGTGGGCGAGCGCTGCAAATTCTCAGCGGGGGGATTAACGAATTCGACTCCCATTCGACCAGGGATTCCGTGAATTTAACTTGACTGCTCATTCGTTTCACAAGTTTGAGACCAGTGGTGCTTTATTTGGGCCTAGAACGCCGTGCCTGTCATGTTTTCTGAGTGATTTGGCGCCAGACAGGGAACTCTAAGCACAGTACCCCCTTCGTAATCTTCTCCTGTGCAGAGCACATGCTGTTCTACGCTAGCGAGAAGTACCCTATCGAGGACAGCTACAGTGACTTTCTCAATAAGGTGATTCCGGCATTCAGTTACCCCCAATTCAGCAACGCTTAGTGTGGAACACATTTCGTGCTGCCTCACACTTGTCAGCTTACGTATCCGTTTCCCTCCTGCTCCTGCTCCTCCCACTTCTCAGCATGCTGCAGTAAAAGCTAGGCTCCTGTCAAGCTCATTGCAGTGGCCTCCCGTTCCCCCTCTCTGCTCTGCTCCTTTGCCCTACACTTCGGATCATGGCAGCACAGCGGGCGGTCCAACGCGTACACGGCGGCGGAGAACACCAACTACCAGTTCGACGTGGCGGCTGAGTTCCTCGATGAAGCTCTTGACAGGTCCGTGACAAGTGTTTGACAGGTCCGTGACAAGTGTTTGACAGGTCCGTGACAAGTGTTTGACAGGTCCGTGACAAGTGTTTGACAGGTCCGTGACAAGTGTTTGACAGGTCCGTGACAAGTGTTTGACAGGTCCGTGACAAGTGTTTGACAGGTTCGAGACAAGTCTTTGACAGGTTCGTGACAAGTGTTTGACAGGTTCGTGACAAGTGTTTAGCAGGTTCGTGACAAGTATTTGACAGGTTCGTGATAAGCCCTTGACATGTTCGTGATAAGCCTTTGACAAGTTCGTGATAAGCTCTTGGCAGGTTCGTGATTAGCTCTTGACAGTTTCGTGATAACATCTTGACAGATTCGTGATAAGCTCTCGACAGGTTCGTGATAAGCCCTTGACAGGTCAGTGGAAGGCAAGGGGGTTCTTGACATGTTCTTTGGGTACTGCAGTCGCTTCCTCAAATCGCCAATCTATTAGAGCCCGTACCTGATCTACTAGGTCCCTTGGCCGAGCTAGCAATCCCATGGATGTGTGATTGTCTGTTTGCAATGCCTGTGGCAGGTTTGCTCAGTTCTTCATCGGCCCACTCATGTCAGCTGATGCGACCAACCGAGAGATCAATGCAGTGCACTCAGGTACGAGGCTTGCAAATGCCGCAACAAGAACATGTTAGCTGACAGTGCACTCAAGTACCAAGCTCCGTTTTCCGTTCATGCCAGGAACCTTTACTACCATCTCTGTCAATGCAGTACACTCGTCCTTCTCTGAACTCTTCCCCTTCTCTTGATAGACTCGTGCGTCTTTCTTTTACTAGTGAGTCTTGACCAATCTGTGATTTCCTGACTGCAGCCTTGTGATCCTTTCTCCCCTCCCCGCCCCTCTTCCAAACACTTCAGAGCACACCAAGAATCTGATATCAGACCCCTGGCGGATCAACCAGGTAAGGCACACCGGCATGTTTGGCACCTCATTCTAGTCGTCAGCTGTCAGAAGCATGATTATGCTTATCCACAGATCCCCGTGCACTTGCAGCATGCACCTGTTCACTGTGGCCAAGTCATGCTTTGCCCATTGACCCTCTCCCTGTGCCTGTTCTGCCGTCAACGCCCCTCAATTCGTCTCTAATCGTCCTCAATGCCCCTCAACCCACAACTCCTGGCAGCTTCAAAAGAGCTTCTGCACGCCGCAGCATCCCTTCTACAAGTTCAACGTTGGTCAGTCCTTCGTGCTGCATGCCGTATTCTGATGCACCATGTGTGCACTAACCTGCATTGGGCGCTCCAACCTGCATTTTTCACCACCAGTTCTGTGGATTCCTCCTCGTGCCGTACGCACTATGCCATGTACGCACCACCACCACGTGCATGCCCCTCTCATAGTCCTCCATCCACCTTTTAAATGTCCTCTTTGCAAGTCTCAATGTTCATTGGGCGTGGATGGATCATGCTATGGTATGGCATTGGGCTTCTTGGCACGCCAATGGCATCACATGGCATCGCATTAATGTGCATTGCATGGCATGGCATGGCATGGGCTGGCATGGGCATGACATGGCACGGCATGGCATGAGCATGGAATGGCATGGCATGGGCATGGGTACGGCAGGATCCCTGGAGACGCTGAAAGAGGTGCCTGAAGCCAATGGGAGGGACATACGGCAGGAGCTGATAGCCTTCTACAGCCAGTACTACTCGGCCAACCTCATGCACCTCGTGGTGTATGGCAAAGGTAACACGTGCATCGTGGTTTTTGTGTTGGGGCAAATGCGAGGGCCATATGGAAGCAGCTACCATTATTACCACTCTGCTAACGTGATGCACCTCGTGGTCTATGGAAGGTGATGTGTCACCCATGCCCTCTTCTCCTCCGTGCCTCGTATGCATCCTCCTCCTACTACAGCCAATGTTACTCTGCCAACCTCTTGCACCTCGTGGTGTGTGACAAAGGTTATGGGTTCTCATGCGCCATTGTGGTGGTGGATTCTATTTCTCAAGTTGCCAGGAAAATCGTTCGGTCCTATGTCCTCTCGTGCCGTCTCTTCCTTCCTTCCTCAATGCCTTCCACGCCTCTCCGTTCCTCTTCCCCCCCCTCCCTCCTCTTCCCCACTTCCTTTTCGGCATCCCCCCACCTTCTCAGACACTCTCTCATCCGTAAGATCCATGGTGGAGAGTCGCTTCTCCCTCATTCCCAACAAGTGTGGTTTGAGATGCCTCAAATCATCCTTTTGTCTACCCCCCTCCCCCTCCCCCTCCTTCTCCCCTCCTCCCACACCCCTCCCGCCCTTCTCCCCCTCCCTCCCCCCCTCGCAGACTCCCTCTCGTCCCTGAGAGCCATGGTGGAGAGTCGCTTTGCCCTCATCCCCAACAAGTCGCTCCAGCAGCCTGAGATTCCAGGCGACCCCTGCGGTCCTGAATGCACCAAGGTGCTGCCTTCTGTACGGAAATTAGTTTCCTTATCCTGGGCTTAGCTCCGTAATGCGTGCACCACAAAAACGGGGTGAGACCCAGCAGGGGGTGGGACCCCAGCATAGGGTGAGCGTACATCACCTTCCCCCCACTCTCTCCCCCCCATCTTCCCCTTTCATTTTCCCTCACTCTTTGCTGAAGCTGGTGCATGAAGCGCTAGTTACTGAGAGCCACAAGCTGGAGCTCGTGTGGCCCACATTGGCGGACCAGCACCGTCACAGTGCCACACCCTTCCCCACTCTCCCCCCCATTTATTTCCCATGTTCTATGTTCCCCTCGCGTGTCTGTCTGCAAAAGCTGGTGCGTGCAGTGCCTGTGACGTATTGCCACAAGTTGGAGCTGTTCTGACTCTACCAGCTGTCCAGCACCTGCAGCCCCGTCCCCGCACTCTGTTCCCCCCACCTTCCCCTTCCATTCCCCTCTCCCTCCCTGCAGAAGCTGGTGCGTGCAGTGCCTGTGACTGAGGGCCACAAGCTGGAGCTGGTCTGGCCCACACCGGCCGACCAGCACCTGCACCGTGCCACCCCCTCTCGCTACCTGGGGCACCTCATTGGCCATGAGGGGCATGGTTCGCTGTTTGCTCTGCTCAAGAAGAAAGGTGAGAAGGGAAAGTGTGGGGAGAGGGGGAGGGAGGGGACAGGGGAGGTGGGACGTGGCAGGAGAATAGACCTGCACTGCTCTCTTTCTCCTGCGTCACGCGATCCACTTCGTGCATCGCATTCCCTTTGTCCCCCGTTGCGCCCCGCTTTTCACGCTTTTCACGCTTTTCACGCTTTTCCATGGCTGCTTCACCATTCCACCCTTCCAACTCATTCCTCTTCTGCCCTCCCCATCCTCCTCCTCTCTCTCCTCCGGTGTGCTGCACAGGGTGGGCCACGGCTCTGGGAGCGGGGCGCAGCCACAGCAGCAAGCACTATGCGTTCTTTGCTGTCAACATCGATCTCACTGACCTAGGCCATGGTAAGTGCTTCCTGCGTATCTGCACAGCAATCACACTACGATGCCCTCTTTGCTGAAGTTATTTTTCCTTACCAGCACCACTCTCGGAGCCCCTGCGCACCCGTCCTCCCTGCCCTTCTGCTGCCATCATGCACCAACCAGAGCACGCAATGGAGGTGGTCGCGCTGGTGTTTCACCCATCCCCCATGCCACCGTCACTAGCAGCACCCTCACTGCCCATGCCATGCCGCTCCCCTCCCATTCCGTCCTTCCAAAAACCAGAATGCGCATTGGAGGG